GGTGGTGGCAGTACAAGCCTTTAATCCCAACACTTAAGAAGCAGAGGCAGTTGAATCTCTGAATTTGAGGCCAGCCTGGTATACAGAGTCAGTCCCAGGACAACCAGGGCTACACCAAGAAACCTGTCTTTTTTTTAAATTTTTTTAAATTTTTTATATTAATCACAGGTTATTTACTTTGTATCCCAGCCATAGCCCCCTCCCTCATTCCCTCCCAATTCCACTCTCCCTCCCTCATCTCCTCCCTGCCCCTTTCCAAGTCCACTGATAGGGAAGGACCTCCTCCCCTTCCATCTGACCCTAACTTATCATATCTCTTCAGGATTGGCTGCAATGTCCTCTTCTGTGGCCTAGCAAGGCTGCTCCTCCCTCGGGGGGTGGGGGGGCTTGACGAGCTCGCCATTGAGTTTATGTCAGAAATAGTCCCTGTTTCCCTTATGAGGGAACCCACTTGGATACTGAGCTAACATGGGCTATATCCGAGTAGGGGTTCTAGGTTATATCCATACATGGTCCTTGGTTGGAGAAATAGTCTCATGAAAGACACCTGTGTCCTGATATTTTTGGTCCTTGTGGAGCTCCTGTCCTCTCCAGGTCTTACTAACTACCCCTTCTTTCATATGATTCCCTGTACTCTGCCGCACATTTAGGAATGGATACAGAAATTGTGGTACTTTTAAACAATGGAATACTACTCAGCAATTAAAAACCAGGAAATCATGAAATTTGCAGGCAGATGGTGGAATCTAGAAAAGATCATCCTGAGTGAGGTATCCCAAAATCAGAAAGACACACATGGTGTATACTCACTTGTATAGACCTATAAGATAGGATGAATATACTGAAATCTATACAACTAAAGAAGATAAACAAGAAAGAGGATCCAGGGTAAGATGATCAATCCTCACTTAGAAAGACAAATGGGATGGACATTGGATATAGGAGAAAACAAGTAACAGGACAGGAGCCTACCACAGAGGGCCTCTGAAAGACTCTACCTATCGGTGTATCAAAGCAGATATTAAGACTCATAACCAAACCTCTGGCAGAGAAACCTTTCTTGAAAAGCAGAAAACAAGCAAACAAACAAACAAAAAGTTTGGGGAGTTAAAAGACAAAACAGAATAAATTTGACCTATACCTGAGAGGCAATATTCTTGACCTTTTGGGGATCCCATATCCTTCAGATTTTGATGAAAGCTATGGTCCTTCTCCCCAGAATAATAAGTGAGCACATGTATGAAAATTGCTATGCCTCCTTTTCCAAGGTACACATCCTTCCTAAAGTACATCCTTGGAATAGGGAAGTTCCTTGCATTCTCTGAAAGTTCCATTCTTCAGTTTCACTCAGTCACATATCACAGAACCATCTTTTACCTGAAGTATCAAAACAAAAAGACTAGTATTTTGTTCCAAGATAATGACTGAATATTCACAATCCGTCCCTACCAAAACATGTCCTTTTCCCACTCTGCTCACCCACAAACCCCTTCAGTTGTTTCTACTTGCTACCTGTTTTCATTCTCCTGCCTCCATTCTGCCTGCTCTTAATTCTTTGTAATATTAAATTCTCCAATTTTTATTCTTTCTGTCCTTAAGTCTACCACCAGATGAACCACCAGGTTCATCTTTCCAGAGAGTAGTTTGGCACTGTGTTGTTGGTGTTGTGTTTTCTTTTTCAGGCTAACAGAGTAGCAGAAGGTCTGTGCAGTAGACCTGATTGTGTTTAAACCAATGTCACCCTCATCAGCTGTGCAGTGCTGAGCAAGTGCTTGTTTTCACCTGCACTTCCATAACACAGGGACAGTATAGAAGAGCCTGAGACTGTTAAAAGAACTGATTATACTGCTTTGTTGGTTGTGCTTTTATGCTGGCCTCTACCCATCTGTCAGTCTCAGGTGTTGGCTGTTAATTTCTGGTGCCTGCTGGAGTCCTGGGATGGGGAGAATCCCCTTGGCAGGGTTCTGAAGGAGATCTCAGCTTTTTGAGTATGGTCAACTTAATGGTGGTGCTTCTCAGGAATTGTCACAGTTCACCTCAGGCATGTGGACCTGTGTGGTAACTTGTGTTCAGGAAGGCTCTCCTCTTATCAGAAGTCCTGGAGACAGTTGCCCTGCTTCTGGGTTTCTTATTCTGAATTTAGTGAGCTGCTACTGCTGCTCTTAAGCTGTATTTGCTGGGCGTAGCCCTTGTGAAGAACCATGGAGTCCTGTCGTCGTTTAGTCAGTTTAGCTAGAGATAACTGGTCACAGCTTGGAGCAGTATCTGAGGGCTGCTCCATTGGCTCTCAGGCTTTTGTAGGTCTGAGGTTAGAGTAGCGTACCCCAGTACCCTAGCTGTAATCAGTGGAAGTTGAGCACAGCACTCATGTGTACAGTAGAAGGCCAGAACCTAGGGCCTGCGGGAACCCAGAAACTTTTCTGGAGCTGGGTGTCCTGAGGGTTGGACCTGATGTTTTCCCCCGAGTCTGTGGTGTTTGGGGGTCTGCAGGTCCGTCTAGGATGGCATGTAGAGCATGCAGGCACAGGCGTGTGGCTCCACCTGGCTGGCAACTGGGTGACTGGGCGCCTGGGCACTTGCAGGAACCTGGAAACTTTTCCTGAGACCTTTTTTTTTGGGGGGGGTGTTGGAGAGCGGGTATCTGCTGAGTGCTCTGAGGTCAGACCTGCTGCTCCCCTCACTGTGGGCTTCACCCGACAGAGAAACTCAGTTTCTGGGGCCCTGCGGCCCTCAGTTCTGTCTGGGATGGTGAGTCAGGTGTGCAGGCAGGACTCTGCTGGCTGCTAAGCACCCCACTTTGGGCTGTCGCCTGGGCGCCCGCCAGACCCGGGTCCTTTTCCATAGATTGTCTGGGTGACCTAAGGTCAATCCCGATCACTTCTTGCACCGTAGGGTTTTCTCTCAACTGGAAATCTCAGTCTCTGGTGTTGTGGGGCCCACAGTTCAGTCTGGGACAGTGATCAGAGCACGCCGGAGGCAGCGTGTGGTTCTGGGCTGGCGACCCAGACCCTGGCAGGACCCAGGAACCCTTCCCCAGTTTAGCTGGGTGATCTGAAGCTGATTGAATCCCACCTGTGAGGTTTCCTCTCACCTGGGAAACACAATTGCTGGTGTTTCAGGGCCCAGAGTTCTGTCTGCTGCTCACTGTGCAGATCCTGGCCTGAAACCCCTGCACAGATGTAGCCCATGGCTGTTCAGTGTCCAAGTGAGTTCCATAGTAATGGGAACAGGGACTGTCTCTGACACAAACTGATTGGCCTGCTCTTTGATCACCTCCCTCTGAGGCAGCCTTACTAGGCCACAGAGGAAGACAATGCAGCCACTCCTTATGTGACCTGATAGCCTTGGATCAGAGGGAAGGGGAGGAGGACCTCCCCTATCAGTGGACTGGGGGAGGGGCTTGGGTGAGGAAGAGAGAGGGAGTGTGGTGTTGGGAGGGGAGAAGGGAGGGAGGGAGCTACAGGGGGGGGGGGATACAAAGTGAATAAACTGTAATTAATAAAAATAAAAATAAATTTAAAAAGAACTGACTAATGATAGTCATTAGGAAGGGATCAAGTCATAAGGATATTTAATAAATATTTCTTGAATAAACTATATATTCAACCTTCTGAGTTTTGATGTAATGCTTTTTTAATGTAGGCCTCTGCTTCAAATCCCAAGCTCTCCATTTCTTACTTTCAGACTTTTGCCTTGTACATCAGAGTATTCCTACTCCCCAGTACTGTGATCTCCTTTCTTAATGCCACACACTTTTCATAGTATGTACAACCCACCTGTTGCCTGGAAATAGATGCAGGTTCCCACCTTACTCTCTTTGTTGCCCTAGGCCAGCCACAAAAGTCCCATATCTTTCATTTTCCTTATTTGTCAATTTGCTATCAATATAATATTTATGGAAAAGTTTTTATGAAAAATAATTTCTTGTAAGGTAAATCTGGAGATGGAAAGGGACAGCGTCAGATCAGATCCAGACAGGAAGTTAATATCAATCTCACATATACTCAGAGGAGTGTTGGGAGAAAAGATAGGTGCTCTGCATTTTTGGCATTTTAGGATCTGCTATTCCTAACCCTCCAAAGCTCACTTCATGTTATGTAGATATTCACTCTTTCCTACAAAAAAAGAGTGGATCTTTCCAAATAAGCTTGTAATGCATACTCAGCCGCAGTTTCCAAGCAACCAGTAAGAAACTGTGACAGAATTCTCATAGTCCTCCAAAATAAATACAGAGATATCTTGTGTTGTTGAAAAGTAATAAATATAAAAATAAAACCAAACAGAAAAAAAAATGCCTCCTTTTAATAGTATCATTTTAATTGACACCGGGAAGAGAAGAGTAAGAAATCAACTAATCGGTACCCCTGAGAAAGGACCGGGCCAGATCAGCCCATGCTGTGGGAAGATAAATTATTGCTTAGGAAGCTCCCAGGACCCTACAATGATGCGTTGGTCATGTCTTTCACGTGATTATATACGTGATATAATTCACTCTGTATTATAATCCAATACAGAGTTCTTTAAAAGAAATGGGATATTTATGTCCTAAATGCTTTTAAAGAGAATTCTTCAACCTGAAAGGTCTGGAGATGCAAATGTATCTGCTTTGCATTTTCTGTTTTTTCAACAAGATTTTTGTTAATAATAGTTAAAAGGAGCAAATTAAAAGTTTGCCTTCTTAGTCATTTTCATAGTAAACCCAGACCATCAGAAATATGACAGGCAGATATGTCTTTAAAACAAAGTAAATTAGTCTGTTATTGCACAGATGGGTGGATTTTGTTTGTTTTTTAAGTAAGGCAGTGTGAATCACTGATATTTATAAAAACCAACATAAGGAATTTTTCATCTGTCATTGTTCTATTTTGGGAGGAAGGGGGAAAAGCAGTGGTCTGTCTTTGATGCATTGGCACGCCCCAAATGGTCTACTTTGTTACTTGAAGTGAACTTTTCATTTCCTTTATCGAATATTCAAACTATTTCCCATATTGTTTATACAGAGACAGTGACAGGAGTTAGAAAAGATGCATCCACATCTCCTATGCCAACAAGAATCCCTAAGGGCCCTGTGACCCCATCCTTGTCATCACCCCAGCAAAATACCTCAAGGTGAGCCTAAGAGACTCTTTGACTTGGTGTTCTTTATAAGCATGTTTATAAGACTGAAGAAGTCTGGATAGTTTTAGTGATCTTACTCAATAAGCACTTATTATGAAGCTGTAGATTCAGAGTTCTGTTCTTCATATTCACACTTTTCTGAAAGGATCATGACAGTTGGCAAGGATTTCCATAGAAACCCAAAGCATCCTGTCCACAGAAACTCTGCTTAGCAGTGAATCCTTCTCAGCTGATCACAGATAGTAATATATTTGGTCTACAACTCCATGTGACTAAATTCTGAAAATCTCAGTGGATTTTGTGCTAAAGAAATTTTAATGTCCATGTATACCAGAGACTTTAGAGGGGCTAATTATGTGTCAGCCATTTCTGGAGTTAGGGAAAGAAATATATTATTTAAAACTTCTCATATTAATATAGCAACTCCCATATTACACACTTAAGACTCAACATATAAAAGCAACAATTTCAAAAGGACTTGGTTTATATTTCCTTAGTGATAAGGTTGGTTTGAGGCACTTAAGTCCCTCACATCTTATCACATGAATATAGTTTTAAGGTTTAATTTATAGTTTAATTACCTAAATTGTTTATCTCAAGGCTGATGATTTCAAAGGCATACTGTAAAACATTCTTTGGTTGCTGGTTGTTTGAGAAAGGAAAGAGCTTTAACTCTTCCTTCTATAGAGCTGGCTTTCATTTGGGTCTCATATAAGTACTATGCCACACAAGACAAACCTACACATTATTGAGATGTGTTCATTGTAACTGTGGCTCTTCTTGGTATTCCTTTAATTCTGGAGGCAGAGAGGTAAACACCACAGAGGACCTGGGAAGGGACTGGCCGCTGTCTTTTAGTGCTGTGTACCTAGAACTGTGCCAAACTCCCTGAGTCAGTCCTCAGAGCCTATGGAGACAGAACTGTCCTCCTTCCATTTTAAAATTGGGAAACTATGACTAAGAGAGGTTGAGTGAGTTGTTCCCTAGCCAATAAAAGGCAGGGCCATTAACTGAAGTAGTGTAATAGCCAGCATTGACCCTCTCTCTTGCTTTTATTTTTAATGCTGTTGCCATTGGAATTTGCCAAAGAAACATATGAGTTGTGATTTTGGACAGTGGACAGAGTACACTCTGTTTTGTACTACTTCACATTGTGATTGGAAGCTTGTGCTCAGAAGCTTCCTATCCCATAGGGATTGGTTTTGATGAGTTTAGAAATGGGTAATACTTTTGATTTTAATCTCACTGAATTTTCTTACTGTTAATATTTAACTAGCTTTTGGATGGATGGATGGATGGATGGATGGATGGATGGATGGATGGATGGATGGTTGGTTGATTGGGTTGACTGGTTGGTTAGCTGGTTGGTTGGTTAGTTGATGAGAGGGTTCAATGGCCAGGGCTTCATATGTGGAACCCCAGCGCTCCAACAATAAGCTACACTCTAGCACTGAAATGTGATCTTTAACACTACTTTAATATATTTTTGAAGGTTGAATTTCAGTTTAAAAGGAAGCATGAATAAGAGGAAGAAAATGTTTCTCTGTGAGGGTTTTGTAAAACATGCTCAGCATAAATTTTCTGAATGGACCATATCAGTGAGGTAGAGTGTTAAAAGCCCTGGTTAAATTTGCTGCGAATACTCTTATTTAGAGATGTTAAGAAAAGGATTATTCATGTGCTGGCCCTTAATACTGCTGGTCAGCTAAATATAGATTCTCAGGAGCTTTGTAAATAATAAGCATTTGGCTGACTCAAAGAGTATGAAGCATACCAGATCCTATCTTTAGAGGAGTTCACAGTGGCGTATCATCAGTGTATTATACAAAGTGCCGAGTTAAAAGTGATACACTGTAAAAATCAGTTATCAGGACAGCCCAGTGGCACTTCTCCATTGTCAGAATCCAGAGCATTGAATCATTCTCATTTTGAAGAATATGCTAGTCATTTTTTATAGACTTCTTTAGTTATGCAAACTCTGGTTCTTCCTCCCACAAATCTTTGAAGAGGAGAATAGATCTAGATCCACACTCACCCTAAATTTCAAGAATGTTTAAGATTAACAGAGGCTTGCAAAAGATGACAATATGGTGTGGTGCTGGGTGAGATACATTTTTCCTTTGCATGTACAGGAAGATAACAGTCATGGCAGTTATCTTTCCCATTCATGGTATAGGTTTTTAATTGTTCTCTCTGCTGTCAATATGTGAAATTTTCATTCCCCATTCAAGATGGAAAAAGTTTGTGGCTGAAAATGTTAACATTTGCATTTTTATTTGTTGATTTATTTAAAGGACAGCCTTTTCTACGGCAATCCATCACTTGGTGACACCCCAAATATGAATAATGTATTGTACACTTGCGGTTACAATGTATAATAAGTGCTTGAGACAGTAAAGGAATGTTAACTATGTTGCAAATGTAATATTTATCAACTCATAAAGTTTATTGCTTTTGAGGTTTAATAAAACTGACCATAGAACATTAATATCACTTATTTTTATTTTAGCTGGGCAACTTTGTATGTAGAAATACTTATCTATCTCATGCTAACCAAAAAATATATGTAATTTACAGCATAAACAAAAAAAGGATTATAGCCTTCCCTGTTGGGAGCCATAGTGCTTCTTTTTCTCCATTTAACCTGTGACTCCAGCACTAGTTGTGCACCTCTCATCTGTCAGGGATAATTAATAAGGACAGTGGTTCTATGGGCCCAAGAGGATTGTGGGAGGAAACAAAATGATACTGTTCACTTCTGCTTAGTAAGAATCCTGCACAGCTCAGTCCTCCTGGTGAGATGACTGGAGAGGCTTTCTCCTCTCATTGTGAGCACCATGTCGATACTTGAACCTTAGCTCTGGTAGACAGCTGGGATGATCTCTGCTGCTCTGAATCTGAGTCACTCAATTCTTTTATCCACCATGAAGTCAGAGATAGGCAGGTTACCCTTTGCTTCTCAAGTGAATTGTAGCACTTGAGAAAGCACAAATACTACTTTTTATATAGCACAAATACACTTTTGCAACTTCTCAGATTAGATATGTCCACTGCCAATAATAAAAAATAAAGGAAGTTTCCAACCACCAAGGCCAAAGAAGTTGTATTTTTTAACCAACATCAGCTGTGATTGGTGTCCCCATTAAGGTGCAGAATTATGTATTTCTTCAGTGTAAATAACCTTTCTGGTTGTGCTTGATATATGCCAATTTAATCAAAACGTCTACTTGCATTAAGCAGATACTTGCATTAACATAGCTTTGGATTTCAGGCCTTTTATCTTGAACCATACTAGGAGATAAAGTATTTTACAGCTGTATGCCCTTTCATGTGACATGGTCATTTCATATTAAAATGAAGGAAGTGCCTTCTGTACAGCAGAAATGTCACTTTTTGAAATACCGATAGAGTTTCTATTTCTCAGTCCTCTTACAGCACAATGATGATTGTTCCAGTCTGATGAACAGAGACTAATTCCAGGCCCATGACTGCAGGATTAAATCCACGGTCCCTGAAGGGCAGGGTCACCGAGCTCCTTCTGCTCCTCCATGATTCATTAAGTATGAGGGCACAAACCTGCTTTCCTGTGGCATGTAAAGAGAGAAAGGCAATTCCTATACTCCATGCCAGAAAGAAATTCTGTGCAACTAAAGCAGATTTATCTGTTAGAAACTTTCTAGAAGAAAGTACCTCTTGTTTCTTTATCTTGTTTTGACTTTTTCATTTTGTTTTATTTTCAGAAAGATTTGGATTTTCTTTTTAAACTACAACATGGAAGATTTTTTTTTGTTTGGTTTGTTTCTTTTTGAGATGCAGGATATGGATTTTATGAAATTTGTTAAGCCTAGGGTGGGGCACATATTTGAATGTTTGGAAAAACTTAATAGTGTATCAGAGCCTTAAAATTACTTAATTCTTTTTTTTTTTTTATTTTGGTCATTTGCAGCCAATCTACTTGTTTAAGATGTTCTGGACATCTCTTGCTCTCAATGTGCTTAGCTTGGCTCACAGGCATTTGTAGAAGGCTACAAGTCTCTCAGGGGAACCTGGGATCACACTCTATCAAGCCCTTGCTGAAATAAGTCTCTCCATCTTTTAGACCAGTGGTTCTCAGCCTTCCTAATGCTACAGCCCTTTAATAACGTTTCTCATGGTGACCCCAACCATAAAATTATATTCATTTCTACTTTATAACTGTAATTTTGCTACTGTTATGAGTCAAAATGTAAATATCTGATATTAAGGTTTTCTGATATGTGACCCCCGTGAAAGGGTTGCTTGGCACCCCTCCCCAAAGGGGCCATGACCCACAGGTTTGAATGCCGCTGTTTTAGACAGAATTTTTATTTTTCCTTAGTAATTTTACATGAAAAGTCCAGTTGTTTTTGGCTCCAGAAATGATGATACAGTCTTCAGGGTGCTAGAACAACTGATAGCATTTTGGACCTTGGCTGTGCCGTGGAGAGCATCAAATGAAAGGTATTAGTTACTTTTCAATTGCTGTGATAAGACGGCATGTCCAAGATAATTATAAAAGAGAGCATTTAATTTGAGGCTCACAGTTTCAGTGGGTTAGAGTTCATGAACATCATGGTGGGACTATGGCAGCAGGCAGACATGGCCCTGGAGCAATAGCTGAGAGCTTGCATCTCAATCTACAAGCAGGATCCAATGAAACAGAGATAACTGGGAATAGCATGGACTTCTGAAACTTCAGAGCCCTCCTCCGCTGACATAACTCCTCCAACAAGGCCAAGATCTCCTAATCTTTCTACAGTTCTGCAAAATGGGAAGCAAGTATTCAAATACATGAGCCTATGGGGCCATTCTCATTCAAACCACTGCAAAATATGGTATCAAAGCTTTAGCTCATGAACAGTCTGTGCACAATTTTATTTCCTATATCATCTTGCTAGTAACTGGTTAGATCAAGAAGGGAAAATCATGTCAGTGTAAAAACTAGTTGTTTTGTTTCAACAACAAAATTCTCA